CACAAACATGCATAATTCTTTCATCAGATTGACCATATAAAACAAAAGGCCACTGAATGTTAAAACCTTTTGCAGCAAACAAATCAGAAACTTGAACATACTCCCTTGCTACCCTCCAGAAGAATAGTTTAAATCTAGGAATCAGCTTTATTTTCCAAATTTTGGAAATGAATTTAAGAAGAGGCAAGGGAAGCCTAGCAGCTCTTTGTTGCCATTGAAAATAAATGGCAAGTTTTATAGAAAAGGATCCATTCACTGTAGGGAGCCACAGGAACTAGTTTCCAGACAACCTATAAATATGGGTCTAAAGAATGAACTTACCCAATTCAGCTTAAAACAAGTCCTAATTTAAGATCATCCCAGGAACCATCCTCTCTTAAATCAACGATGGTGAGGCTTCTATACTCATAAGCCTACCAAGGTTTTGGTCGCTTAAGAACTTCCTCAAGAGGCCTTAATGGTTCAGGAGTCTGCAAGGTTGCAAGCACCATTAAGAATTCTGGGTACAAAATCTGCACCTTGCAGTAAAAACATGAGTCAATCAAGTTAAAGATGTCACATATCCCCTTACCTTTTCATTGATTTACATTAAAGACGTCTGTTTTTAGGATGTGGTTTCTAGTTTCTTCTCCATAACATTTGCCTTTCTTTTTAAAAAATATAATTTGGCAAACTAAATCATGGTTACTTTGACAAACACCAATAGAAAGAGGTTTTGGTGAAAAACTACATCTTTAGAGTGTAGACCTAGATAAAAAATAAAAATTAGGGCTCAGTTTAGGGGCTTGAATCTCCTACCCACTAGTTGTTCCCACATCCCTATCCACGAGTAAGTACAGCTGCATATTGGGAATATCTTCCTTGTCATTCATGGAGAGATGTTTCCAATACAGGGTGATGGTGTTCTATGGGTATGGATGTGGGAACCATTTGTGGGTGGTAGATTTGGAGTACAGTTTGGGAAGAGTAGAAATACAAATATGTACAGTGCAAATACAAGGTTTAGAAATACCATATATGATGCTTTGCACCACCGAAGATATTTGTATTTACACTCTTCCCAAACTGAGTCTAGATGTGTATATTAAGGTTGAGTTATTAAACAGAGAAAGAGGCAAGTAGAAGATTGCATCCTATTAAACATAATATAAATATTAATTAGGGTAAATTATTCATACCTCCCTTAGGGTTTCATTAATATGCTTACACCAGCCCTTAGGTTTACCTAATAGCATGCCCCCTTTCATCATGGAACTATAGGAGTTTGTTTATGAAGGAGATATAGTAAAGTAAAAAGTGGGTATTTTACAAAAATTTACCCATAACAATAAAAGTATATTACTTTTGTCTCCAATATATATATAAATATCATGAAATTGACAAAGTATCATTATTTATAAACACTAAATATAGTTTTACCTTCTCAAGTTCTTATTTCATTCACTCTAATTTTTTGGAACCCATTTTCAACTTTTCATTCTTACAATTTTAAGACTTGTTTTGTAATTTTCTAAATCATTATAGACCCCTACTTGACGACCCAAGCAGTAAAAAAACTCCTTGAATTCCACTTAGATCAATCTTTATGTACGAGAAGTGAGTCAATTTTGTATGATCCATACGAATTTTTTGTTCATTGATAAAATGAATTTTTCTTTTCCATTTCAAATCCATGACTATGAAATCADATAAATGAGAAATGAATCATCAAAAAATGAAAAGAAAATAGAAAAACRGACAATTTCTAGTTACATGCCCGGATTGAGGATAGAATTAGATAGTTCCAATTGTTCTATTCCGAGAGAACTTAAACTACGTGAAAAGATCCTTTTTTGGCTCTCTCTTCAGCCCTATGTCTCTTATCCCTATGAGGTCTTCCTCCACGAGCAGGTTTTTTCGGAAACCTCCATCTATTATGGTGTGGATGGCAGGCATGCCTATATTTCTTGGTTTCAATAGGACTCCTTACAAGCGTTGTTTCTATTTACTATTATCTAAAAATAATCAAGTTATTAATGAYTGGAYGAAACCAAGAAATAACCCCTCACGTGCGAAATTATAGAAGATATCCTTTAAGATCAAATAATTCCATCGAATTGAGTATGATTGTATGTGTGATAGCATCTACTATACCAGGAATATTTTTGCAAATTTGTACTCAATTTCATATGTGGCAATTCTACTAAGGTCTCTTCATTAGTTGGGGGAAGAATCCACACGAATCAAGTTTTTTGAGGAATGTATCGAAAGAAAATTGGATTTGGTTAAACAATGTGTGATTGATAAACAAGGATCAGTTTTTTAGCAAGGTACGAAATGTATCGTCAAATATTCAATATGATTCCATAAGATCTGTTTTCGTTCTAAATAACGGTAACATTTTTTACTTTAATTGGTTAGATTCAGTAGTAGGTTCATTAATTGCACATAAGATCTCGAATGAGAAGAAAAAAGTAAAATATCGTACGGTCGATCGAAGAAAAAAAAACTTTTATTTCGGTCCAACTCGATTCTAAGACTATTAGCTTTTTAAGTTCTACATTCTGTCTTTCTATATTGTGGAGTCCCACCCTTCTAGTTAGGTTAAGAAGGGACTTTGGATCTAATGCAACAATGGGTGCATCACGAATATTGATTGTTCCAATTGTTATATTATTTGTTCTGTTTCTTTCATTGAATACTATCTACTACTACTGTTACTTGTTACTGTACGACCAACCATTTCTTTGAAATGAAACTTTTATTTCGCTACTAATTCTTCCTCTGCTTCTGGTAAATCAAAAGGGGCTCTCTCACATTCTGTTAGGGAAGAAAATAGAAAAATGACTGCCGCCACAAATTCCAACCCCAAAAACCATATTTTGATTGTACCTCAACTATATCAACTATACTTAACTGTTAGATAATTATAGTCGGTGATAACATCACTGTTCTCATCACTATTACAGAACTGTACATGAGACTTCAGCCTCATACGACTACTCAAAGGCCACAAATAAATCTAGGGACCACTTCAATATTATCTCGATATATTTGAAGAGTAGAAAGAATAAAGATACATCGGAGAGTCCTGAATTAGACGAATGGAATTTTGTCTGCTATAATAACAAATAAAATAAAGTGATTCTGAATTGATCTCTTCCTTTATTATTTCAATTTTTCTTTTTTGTTCAGTAATAACTTAACCMTTCAATAAAATACCTGTTGTATCTATTGACATTATGAAAGGAAAATTGTCTCTTCAAGAAGTATAAGTAGTGACATTTTTGTCCACATAAAATTGACAACATCTTAATTGAATATTGGAATAAGGTAAAATCTAAGGGAAGTTTTCTTAGGGTGGCAATTCATATTCTCGTGTCGTGTTTGTTTCGTGTCGAGACAAGAGTATTTGGATATATGGGTTAATATGAACATCATATCATTAATTAATTGTGTCAAATTTGCAAACACGAACACGACCTATTTATTACACATGTATACATGACATGATCCGCATAATACAAATTAATACGGTTAACCTATTAAATCCTTTAATGAATGACATGTACAATTCGGATTAATATGAAACCAACACGATTAAGCTATTTAAATTAAATAATAAAATAAAAATTTAATATTTCATTATTTAAATAAATTCATAAATAACACTGAGGTTCAGTTTGGAAAGAGTACAAATACAAATATATACAATGCAGATACATACAAAATAATATAAAAGACTATCTTGCGCTCTACATATCTGTATTTGTACCCTTTCAAACTAGGTCTAAATGTCATACTTACATACCATAATAATATGAGAGAATGGAGATTCAGCCCGGGGTCAGAATTTGTAGGCTCAAAGTGCATTTGGGGTAAGTGGCAGCTTGGAATTGATGCTAATTCACAGGCGGATATGAGTGCATAGAATGTGGATTTTTGACATTTTGAATGTTTATAATTCTATAGTAGAAATCAGAAATCTACATTAGGCCTGCCCATACTTCTTCTTAATAATATTTCATATTAGAAACTTCTATTCATATATATAAAGGCCATTTCTTGAGTTAAGTGAACCAACTAAAATTGACACATTTATTAATCATGTCAAACTGCACTAAAAATCAATCTGACCGTTGCACTAAAAGGCCTCGTGTTCCTGATTTTCACAATCTAACCGTTCGGTCCGGGCCAAGTCTTAAAACAATGCTATTAATTAATTAGAACTCAATCTCCTCAAAAAGTATATTTTAAAGGCTTTATAAAAGGAAAAATATGATTTTGAATTGCTAATTAACAAATTTTTTTAGGAAAATGTCTGAAAACATAAAATAAAACTATGGTGATTTATATTGCATACAATACATCAAAACAAAATCATGAATTTTAGCCAAAACCACTAAACTTTTCCAAAATAAATAGAGCGAATTTATTTATTTTTATATCTGAATTTCCAATGAGAGATGATCGCATCTTTATAAAATATTAACCAACATAGGTGCAAAACTGCAAATTATTTTAGGGCCCATTTCTTACTTTTGTTTCCGGGGCGTATCAATCTTCAACCAAACAGACCTCATATACTAGAGTAGAGAAGGCCTGTTGACATGGAAGGTTGAGAACTTGTACTCATGGTGGATCCAGTGACTAGTGAGGTTATACTTATGACTATATGGGCTTTAAATCTAAATAGCCAGGGTGATTTGGCTAACAAGCACTTCTAAAAAAACTTGCCACGTGTTCCATATCCAGAGGACTGGGACCCACCCCACCACTTTTAAAACTGTGTTTTCCTAATGGAAACATATATATCAGCAGATAGTCTGGACTCTATGTCGACTCTGCAGATTTCTGTTGTGAGCACTCTCTTACATGGACCCACCATTATTCCTACTTAGCTAGGGCTGCTACTGATAACATATGAGAACAGGGGGTAAAAACTAAAAACTAACCTGTAACTGTACATAAATTGTCTGTAACGATTGAGTTACAGAACATTCTCTATCAAAACCTCTCCTATCTTCCAGCCACTACCTTTGTAATTTCAGCCGACAGAAGAATAAGCTCTTATCGTAACAAATAACTGGCAGAGACTGATCCACGTCTCATCTTCTGCACTGCTGCTCACTCTCTCCCGCTGCTCTTTGAGTTCCCAAACTCAACAACCAAAGGGCAAGGGAGCCAAGTAGAGAGAAGAAAGATGTCTAAGTCGAACAATCCAATCCGTTTCGGAATTATAGGATGTGCAGTGATAGCAAGGAAGGTCTCTAGAGCCATAAATCTAGCTCCCAATGCAACCCTCTACGCTATTGGCAGCCGTTCTATTGAAAAGGCGAAGAAATTTGCAGCCGATAATGGCTTCTGTGAAACTGTCAAGATGTATGGGAGCTACAACGAAGTTCTTGATGACCCATGTGTGGATGCTGTGTATGTGCCACTCCCCACAAGTCTGCATGTGCAATGGGCAGTCATGGCTGCTGAGAAGAAGAAGCATGTGCTTCTGGAGAAGCCCACGGCACTCAATCTGGCCGACTTGGAGCATATATTGAAGGCCTGTGATTCGAATGGTGTGCAGTTCATGGATGGTACAATGTGGCTGCATCACCCCAGGACTGCCAAGATGAGGGAGATGCTATCGGATGCTCAGCTCTTTGGACAGCTCAAATCGGTAAACATCAAAGACCCTTGGTGGTATTTATGATCATAAAAAGCTGTGTCTGATTGTTACTGTGTCTAGATCATGAGGAATTCAAATTAGATTCCACTGCTATCCGATCAATCCCGTGAGCTTGTTTGGTAGCTTCAAGTCTGCCAAAAACACAGAATTGATGAGGGCTTAAAATCTGCTTGCTAATTTGCCTCAAAAACAAATCCAAACAATAGAATTCAGAGACATTGCAGACTTTATTCTCTATAATTATGTGCCCAGTTTTTCGCAAATGCAATTCCACCCTGATCTTGGTTTGATAGAAAAATAAGAGAAACAGAAAATTGGGGGGTAGTTCTTAACAAAATTTATAAAATTCCTTAAAGAGTTTTTGGTTTATCTCTTATTTTCTATCAAACCAAACACAGCCTAAATTAAAGTTTACAATTTTTTTTGTCATTAATTTCCTATTAAGCTTTTAGACCCACCATTCTTTATCTAGATGGGTGAGCTCCTGGGTCAATTATCAATCTATGCAGATTAATCCAGCCATATATATATATATATATATATCATGAATAGCCTCATTTTGGGATTATTGGATAAATTTCTAAAAAAGCCTTAACACAGCCTTTGATATAGACTAGTTAGGAGGATCAATTGTTATTTTGGCATCACAGCCTTCCTTGAGTTAGACCCATTTGATATTGAGACATAATCTGTCTGCACGTCACTTAATTTGGTCTAGTAAATGCTTGCAGTTGTGCTTCTATTACTATTGATTTATTCATATTTTTAACTTCATTATTCTTCTTGGTATAGATGTATAGCTCATCTACATTCTCTGAAACACTAGAGTTCTTTGAGAACAACATAAGAGTAAAGCCAGACTTGGACGCCCTCGGTGCACTAGGAGACACAGGTTGGTACTGCATTGGAGCCATCTTGTGGGCAGCCAACTACAAACTGCCCAATACAGTAATGGCTCTGCCAGCTGCAAATCTAAATGCTGCTGGAGTCATCTTGGCCTGTGGCTGTTCCTTCCACTGGGCAGGAGAAGATAGCAAGGTTGCAACTTTCCACTGTTCTTTCCTCTCTCATGAGTCCATGGATCTCGCACTGTATGGTTCTAATGGATCCCTCCATTTGAAAGACTTCATCATCCCTTACCAGGAGAGCTCTGCATCATTTGACTTTGTTTCTGGTGCAAAGTTTAAGGAGCTCCACATTGGGTGGAATTTGAAGCCAACCAAGGTTCAGGTGTTTCTGGAACTTCCTCAAGAAACCTTAATGGTCCAGGAGTTTGCAAGACTGGTAAATATTATTAAAAACTCTGCAGGTCACCCAGATAGTAAATGGCCTGAGATTAGCAGAAAGACTCAACTTGTCATGGATGCTGTCAAGAAATCCATTGAGCTTGGTTTTAAGCCCATCGATCTGTGACCATTGGCATCATGGAATAATACTTTGTACTGGAACTACAGCATTCTAATAATTAAAAGAAAGGATGATAAAATGCACGAGTCCCAGATACTCCATATATGTAGGGTGTATATGCGTCATAATTGAACTGTTTTGCTTTCTTTTCTTGTATCAAAACTACACTTCAGCTTTGGCTGTATGAGACTGAGCTGTTAAGTCAGAAATATATGAAGTTATAAACTCACATATCTATATATGAACCCACATATCTATATCTATGTATCTGCATCTGTACCATTTATAAAAATGAAAATGGTTATCCTCAAAAGACCCTGAATTTTCTATTTCCACTATTGCCCCTAGTCATTATATCCTGATTTTTATGACACAACAATTCAAGTGAGGAATACAGATAAGATATTTATATTTATTTCTATTAAAATGAGAATGGTAGATGGGTAATCGATTATCTATTTTCATTATTACCCCCTTTAGTCATTGTTATTCCAATTATATTTTATAATATTATATATAGTATTTTATATTTTCATTATTGTCCTTCCTTAGCCATTATACCCTAATTTCTCTATAACTATTATATATTTCTATAATTTTCTATTATAAAAATGAGTATGTGGTAACAATGTTTTGTCAAAAAGCCTGATTATACTTCCCTTTTTATAGGGATGCAAATGGATCGGTCGTATTCAAATAAGGGTAATCCGAATCTGATCCGATAAATTATAGGTCCAGTCCAACTCGATCGGATCTCACAAATATTGATTTAGATTCAAATTTGATAAGGATGTTGGATATTGGGATCTGATCCAATCAGATTTATTTATTTTTAAATAATAATTATTAAAAAAGAAAATATAACAATTTAAATAAAGAAAAACAAAAAAAAATGAAAGTATTTTTCAACTATTTTCATCGTATATACATGTTTTTTATAAAAATAAATAATATAAAAACTTATAAAAATATAATATAAATGACATATTGGATCCTTTTGAATTGGATAGGGGTGATCTGAATTTGATTCAGTTTTTAATCGGATCTAATTATCCAATCTGATCTGAAAATCCGTAATGAAGATATCCAAATCCGATTAAATAGGATCAGACTTTGGATCGTACCGAATCATGATCCCTTTTTACCCTCTATGTTTTTTGTTATTCCGATATTTATTTAACCTATCATTAAAAGGGATGTAACTATGAAACAAAGTTTTTTCCAATAAAAATGAATGCTAACGGTTAACATATTGACTATCAACCAAAGTTGCAACCTTTCATTTTTACCTTCATCATTTTTTGCTATTCCAATCAAGGTTCAAAGTATCGGAAACGCTAAATGTATCAGAAAAGCAATTTTAAGAGACGTATCGGGATGTGCCTTGGATACGCATGCACATCGGAGAAAAACTAAGATACACATAGATACGCTTGGAAACACTATAAATACTTTAATAAATCATAAAAATACATCAATAACACTAAATATAAGACCTCAATGAGGTGTATATACATTAAATTAATATATTTTAATGGTTTTATGAATAAATATATTGGTAATTATAATTTCATTACAAATCCTATGCTTAACTATAATTTATAAATTATAATTCTTAAGTTTTAATGTTTTATGGGATGGGAAAAACCCAACTATCCTATCCAACCATAAAACATGCATTGGCACAAATTCTAAGTGAAAATATAATTATTAATCATTTATTATTTATTTTCAAAAGTTATAAAAAATAAATAAACATTATATAATATATTCAAAAATAGTTATTAAAGAAGAAACTTCAATTTCTTTGTGGATATGATAGATCTTCCATAGAATTATAATATATTTAATCATTGTGATCAAATGATAAAATATAATAAATTAATTATTTATTTTTTAATTCTAAAAATATTAAAATAAAAAAATATTAAATAAGAAATTTCAATTGGTCTGTGGATATGAAAGATCACCCATAGAATTAAAATGTATTCAATTTTTGTGATCAAATGATAAAATATAATTAATTATTATTTATTTTTTAATTCTAAAAATACAAAAATAAAAAAAATACTAAAAGAAGAAATTTCAATTGCCTTGTGGATATGATAGATAAATCCATAGATCTAAAACATACAGAGAAAAATTACATTTTCAAATTTTTTATTAATCTATATTTTCTCCAAATATCTTCAAGAAATTTTCATAAATTTATTAATAACACAAAAAATTATGATTTTGAATGTAAGAAATGTAGATCAACATAAATTTAAACATTTAAGAAAAAATTAAATCACAAGATATTATAAAAAAATTGAAAAAAGTTACCTATTTTTGCCATATTTTTTCAAAATTCAAAAATTTTCCAAAAATAAATTAACGATTCACACTTGTTTCTTGCAATTTATTTTGCAAATCTAGCACTCTAGGAATGAGGTTTGGAGTTTTAGAGTCATTTGGGGGTGGAAGAAGGCTTATTTCAAGGAAAAAGAAGCTTGTTTTCCCCTTTATTTTTTTTTTCAATTTTTGGTCGTATCTTTTTCATCGATACGCTCCGATACACCCCTGATACGCCTCGATACGCCTTGATACGATCCGATACGGGTCTGATATGCATGAAAAAAAGATGAGACGTCTGATTTCCATGCGTATCATGTATCTGTTTTTAAAAAATACGATACGATACGCCCCATATCGAACGTATCGTATTGAAATTTTAAACCTTGATTCCAATGTTTTATCTCTCATAAATGTGAAACTATAAAGTTGGTTATGCCCAACATAGTCACTGTAGCAATTGGGCTAGCTCATACCTCTGAGTTGTGTTGGGCTTGGGTTTTGAGGCCCGTGCATCAACACGATATAGAACAAAAAAGTGGACCATGCTGGTATATTCAATTTTATTATACTATTTTATTCAAATTATATTATAATTTTTTTTATTTCATATATAAACAATTGTATACATCAAAATTCATATAGAATAAAATTTTAAGATTTTTTTTCAATTTCTTGTTTATTTTGTTAATTTATTTAACTTCTCATTATTTTTTTTTCAATTTTTAATAAAAAATCATGCCTCTCACACCTCGGCCTATGGCTAAGCCCGTCTAGGCTTGTGCTATAGGCCTAACTTTGAAGAATTTCAGGTAGGGCACGACCCACCCAGGACCACGTATCGGCATGGCACGGCCTGTCAAAGCATAGACAACCCACTTTATATTTTCTAATCAAGTACTGAAAAGTGCAAATTAGAGGCAATGCAAAAAAGGGCACGAAAGATAGTAGATAACACATATACAAACAGATGGATATTCGAATTTGATCTAATTATATTTAATTTTTTTAAATAATAAATTATTAAAAAAAGAAAATATAACAATTTAAATAAAGAAAAACAAAAATGAAAGTATTTTTCTACTATTTTTAACATATATACATGTTTTTCTATAAAAAATAAATAACATAAAAATTTATAAAGATATAATATAAATAACATATTGGATCCTTTTGAATCGGATAGAGGTGATCCGAATCCGATTCGGTTTTTTAACTGGATCTGATTATCCAATCCGATCCGAAAATCCATAATGAAGATATCCAAATCCGATAAAACCGTATCAGGCTTTGGATCGGATCGAATATTGATCATTTTTTACCCTCTATGCTTTTTGTTATTCCAATATTTATTTAACCTATCATTAAATGGGATGTACACTATGAAACAAAGTTTTTTCCAATAAAAATGAATGCTAACCGTTAACATACTGACTATCAACCAAAGTTGCATCCTTTCATTTTAACCTTCATCATTTTTTGTCATTCCAATGTTTGATCTCTCATAAATGTGAAACTATAAAGTGGGTTATACCCAACACAGCCCAATCACTGTAGCTATTGGGCCAGCCCATACCTCCGAGTTGTGTTGGGCTTGGGTTTTGAGGCTCGTGCATCAACACGATATAGAACAGATTCTATATCTATCTATCTATCTATCTATCTATCTATCTATATATATATATATATATATTCAATTTTATTATACTATTTTATTCAAATTATATCATAATTTTTTTTAATTTCGTATATAAACAATTGTATACATCAAAATTCATATAGAATAAAATTTTAAGATTTTTTTTTTCAATTTTTTGTCTATTTGGTTAACTTGTTTAACTTTTCATTATTTTTTCAAATTTTTAATAAAAAATCATGCCTCTCACACCCTGGCCTATGGATGAGCCTACCTGAGCTTGTGTTGCAGGCCTAACCTTTAAAGAGTTTCAAGTAGGGAACGACCCACCCAAGACCACGTGTCAGCATGGCCTATTATATTAAAGCATAGACAACCCGCAAAATTGTGTCATGTTGGCACGACACAACCCATTTTATATTTTATGATGAAGTAGTGAAAAGTGCAAATTTAAGACAATACAAAAAAAGGGCACGAAAAATAGTAGATAACACGTGTACAAATAGATGAGAAAGTAATAGCAAAGAAATAATCATAAATTATCAAACATCAATCGAACCACTTTATAATGGCCTATATCCAAGTTCTTCCAAACTTGGGGTCAAGTCGATATTTTCATCCCAAATTGTATTTTCTTTATCATACTTGATTTACACTAATGAATTTAGTTATAGTTTTATCTACTATTTTTTCATTCATTTTCACCGGTGCATGCACGGGCTTCTCCACTAGTATTCTCTAAAATTTAAGCTCATATTAACCTGAGAAGCAAAAAAAAGAGCAAATAATTGTATACCACCTAAGATGTGGTAAACAGTGTTGCATAGACTCCCATTGAATGCAGCGCTGTTGGCTTCGGTCACTTTTACATGACATTTCCTTTATAACTCAAGGCTTATTTGACATGATCAAGGTTTTAAAATTTGGACCAGACGTGGAACCGTTTTGTGAACCAGTTCTCAGATAGAATTGTTCGACCATTTGGTTCAAATGAATGACCTATTCTGATTTAAAAAATAAAAAATAATAATTAAAATAAAAAAATGGCCAAAAATCATTGGCTGGGTCGATGGTCCAACTGTCTGGGCTAGCAGTTCGTTGAGCAAGAGGGTGTTTGGAACCATGGTTATTTATTAAATAAACATTGTTACGTAGGTGTCACTTCAGCATTTCCCCCATTATGTGAATCCGTACACATAGGGACTTGCAAAAGTAGGATTCGGTTTATGTGTATGCCCACCATTGGCAAAGCTTCATTTTAGCACTTCCCCCAACTGATAGGCATTTATTCAATATTTTGATGATGTGATACCTAATGGTGCCCAAGTATCAATAAGTGAATTCATTATTGTTTTTTTAGTTGTCCAAACAAATCAAGTACAAAACGTTTAGTCAATAAATGTCCACGGCTCCAAATACATACCAAATCAACGGTTTTTGAACCCAGGAACAGTTGTAGGGTAAAACGGAACCGATTGCCTAACCCGTTCCCAGGTCAACCTGTCTGACCATCCGGTTCGGTCCAATTTTCAAAACAGTGGACATGATAAACAGCTAATGTTTGAGAAAAATGCCAGCCTTCATATGAAAACTACTAACAAAGGCATGCAACCCCCTTTTTGCAGGTGTACAATATTAAAATTTTAAAAAATGAACTGTTTTAATGGTATATACTTTTCCATAGACATGTGTCCACAAGTGTCCATGTTTTCTCAAATTGCTGAGTCAGACTCGTGAGCACAAGTCTATTTTCGACTCTTGTGTTCATGTCCATGTGGCACTGGTTGTAAATTAGTAAAAGAAATTTACAAAAGGAAAAGTCGGAATTACCTCCCATAGGGCTGGGGATTCAACCTTAATTGTCAACATTCTGAAGTGACTAAGAACCAGAGTTTCTCAATTAGGTAATCAACAATGTCAACGAGCTTAGTTAGACATTAAAAAAATATAGTGTAGAAGACATAAACACATCCTTGAGTTTTTATAAATTAACTTAAACGTACCTGAGATTTTCAAAAAATACTTAAATATACTTTGTGACCCTTTTGTCCTTCATTCTCTTTTAAATTTTCAAAATATACTTTGAATTTTTTAAACTCATCTAAACAATGGGCATATGGGTAATAAAGTAAAAAATGCTAATACATAACAGGTCTCCAACCCCCAATTATAGGATGAAAAAAAAGTATAAAAATAAACAAAGAAACATGGTGGTGCTCGCAAAAGGAGAAAACGCTTGAAATTTTGTTCATTTCTATCAATTACTCCATCTTTATATCAAAAACTCTGGCTTTTTTTTCTTGTTCTTCTAAATATTCATGTATCAAGGATTCCTAAAACCAGGGAAATGGTTTAGACCTCACTATTCCTATTTTTTCACCGGTATTCAGTATTCTTTTTCCATCTCACTTCTCATGTTTCCTCCTAAAGTGGCATAATAAGATTTAGAATTTTTTAAACGAATTCATATGTGATTTTTCATTGATGTAAGATGCAAGTCCAATGGGGTCACAAGTTATATTCAAATCTTTTTGAAAAACTTAGGGTGCGTTTAAGTCAACTTATGAAAACTTTGAGTCTTTTACCAAAAGTATATTTGCATGGCCAGAAAATCCTCGACCGCATAGAACTCTAAACCCTGAGGATTGATCAATCCAGATTCCAGAGGCATTGCTGTACAAGCTGCTAGAAGCCTTCAACTTACCCAAGCACGTCACTCTTCTCAACCCCGAGGGTTGAATAATCCAGACTCCAGGGGCATTGCTGTACAAGCCACAAGCCTTCAACTTATCCAACCACATCAGATAGTGTTTCCAGTTCTGCTTGTCAATTGTTTCTTTGGCCCTGTTTGGTTCGTGAGAATAGGGTTCTGAAATTGGAATCGGAATAGGCTATTTCAATTCTAACTGTTTGGTTGGATAGAATCGGAATCTCGTTTCCTTTCCTGCTGGAATGGCATTCCCCCCATTTGAGGGAATGGTCATTCCTTGCCCTTCCTTTGGGAATGAAATCCCATTTTTGCTTATTCTCATTCCTGTCTGAACCAAACAAACTATGGGAATGGACCATTCCAATTCCGATTCCAACTGCAAACCAAATGAACCCTAGATAGTTCAGTACTTGTCACCCCATTAATCGTATTGAACTTGTTTTAGGCTTTTAGCGAGTATCATTGACCTTCCCAGAAACTGTATTAAGAACAAACATGAATAGCATGAAGATAGATTGGGAAAATTCCCAATTAGTAACCTGTACTTTGGAATGCCACGTTGGTCCCCGAACTTTAGAACGCAACATTCAGTACCTGAACTTTCAAAATGTGCCAATTTATTATCTACCGTCAACCAGCCGTTAAGTGACATTTGAAAAAACACAAATGCCCTTTTGAGTGTCATACTTTTCTTTATCATCCAAATATTGACAAGAAATGAACAATCCCAAATCCTTGCCTCTTCTATTCAAAAAAGTTAGTCACCATAATGTCCACCGAGACTTCCTTGAATAGAAGAAAACAGGATTTGGGATTATTTATTTTTTGTCAACATTTGGATGGTTAATAAAGAAAATAAGATGACACCTGAAAGGGCATTTGTGTCTTTTCAAATACCACTTAACGGCTGGTTAACGACAGGTATTGGACTGATGTTTTGAAAATTCAGATGCTGAATTGTTACATTTTAAAGTTCAGGAATCAAAATAAATTAGGCCCAAAGTACAAGATACTAATTGAGAATTTTCCCTTAAAATTTATATCAAGAACTGGGTTGCACTTGGGACCTGAAAAAAAAAAATCAAAACGGTGATTATTGGTGGGTTAGACACAATTGCCAAGGATATAAGAAATATGATCTAACATCCAACCTGTGGCTAGTAAGAGGCGTCATTCCTGAAGAATTATCATTGGCATAGATTCCTTAAAGGGGAAATTCACCATTACTTTGCAAGCATCCAATCTCCATAAGCAAGTACGTGAATGTTAGCGAACTAATGGCATGGTCCGATGGTCGCAGACAACTGGATATTCAGTGTGCGAAGAACTGCCAAGTTCAACAGACTATTTAGGTCCTCTGAAGCCCAACCCAGTCGACTCCTGGTTTTGGGAGGAGAGTGGGTAGTTTTATGATGGGATTTGACTGAAACTCCTTTGTCCCAACCCTTTTGTTATGACAAAACAAAACAAAACAAAACAAAACAAAACTAAGAGTTGCTCAGGAAATGTGATAAACAAACAAGTAAGCAAAATATACAGTAGCATAGAAACAATATTCTTAATTTAAAATACCAGAAGTCATAAAATTTTACATATAAATACATCATCTCAAGTTTGAACTTTGTAAGTTCCTTCACATTAGAAAATTAGAAAGATTGATGATACTGCAGTTTAAATTTACATTTGATTAGTCGGTCAGTTTGGTCCTTGCTAGCAAGCTTGGCAGATATCAATTTGCTACGAAGTGGTACCTTAAATCCACATAGCTCTCAACATCCCAGAGGAAAGACCCAAAAGTCACTGCCTCCAAAACAAGCCTCTTCAATCCCCCAAAGCTTATTCTGATTTGTTCATCTTTGGAAGAATCAACAGTCCCCTGAGGTGTGATCACAATCTCAGGCCTTCCAAACAATGCCTCTGTGTGCTTCTCAATGATACTAACACCCTCCTTGGATCTTATTGTTGCATACCTCTGTAATGTATCTGCATCAAAGGACATCACATAGGTTCGAAGTCTTGATGACTTAACCCCATATCCAAACCCACCGGAGCTGAAGTTCCCAGGCGATGATGAAACTTCAGGGTGTGTTTGCTCTGCATGGGATGACGCTTCACTGCTCTTGTTGCCACTGGGATTCATCTGCCCTGCCACAGCTTGCTCAGTGTCACTCTCCTCATCTGATGCATATGGAAGAATCTTCATTGTCTTCTCAAGCTGGAACCTTTGGTCAACCCGCTTGAGGAAATATCCATACATCACCGATGCAGCATAGACCTGCCCAACCCTGAGCTTGCTTATCTGTGCAATGGTGCTAGAATCTGCTACTCTGTTTCCCAATATAAGAGCCAGGTGATTCTGGATCATCTCATAGGCTTCCGTGGAGTGGAGCTGCTCAAGCTTCTTCTCCTGATCTGGCCATGTGTCTACTGGGCCAGAAGGATCAGATGACAGTATTGTAGGTATCAACGAAACATTTGCATCCATGAATTTCTGAACTATTAATGCATATAAAATCTCTTCTAGAGCCTTTCTCCTCTCATTGGCCTTAACCTCAGCTATTCTCCTAATAATATATTAAAAAGTCAATTAGTTTCTCACTTGAAGCCTACGCAACATGTTCTAAATCGGTCTATAAAATTTTCTACCAAGCACTAACCTGTACAAGACAAGGTCGGTCCCTGAAGAAGCAGGCTCCTCCTTTTGTTTCTCAGCATCGCGAGAAGTTTGAAGCTGTTCGAGATGTTGGTCCACAGCAGCAGGCACTAGATGAGGATGGCTTCTCAGAATCTGAGCCAGGAATTGCCCAACAGGAGACTCCAACTGAAGAGGCGCAATCGGAGCAGCTGACTCAGTAGAGTCCTGAGATGCTGATGCCCTCACAATGGTGCTCTTCCTGCTTCTTGAAACTGATCTACTTTGTCGTTGCTTAGAGAGATAAGTTGACGGAGAATGCTGCCAAACATTAAATGAAAGAAGAAAGGTTAACATTAATTACTGGTAATAAATAAACAAGTTCAGAGAAACAGAAGAATTCTCCAATCAACTGTTTTATACCAAACAAATTACCTAATCCAGTAAAATATTTTTTTAATCAGTAGAGCAGAATTACAGAAAGAAATCCTCAGCGAAACTTCAGATTCTCTTGGTAGAAGGGAAAAATAAAAAAGAACCAAACTTTAATTAAATAGAAAATTTTAAGTTTTGGGAATCTAAACTTGAAAATTCCGAGTTTAATTCTACAACCATAATCTAATTCAGTTGATTGATGGATACAACTAATGATCAAATTCCTAAATTTTATCCAATACATGAAAACCACAAGCTTCAAAGAGCTGAAACATCTCAGATCAGAACCAACAAAGCCCTCGAAAGACCACACTGATCCATCATTCAAAAACCACGCATAAACCCTAAATTTAGAAAACCAAGAAGATCTCATAGGCAAACAGTAACAAACGTTTCCCTTACCTTAATCCACACGTTCGAAAAACGAAGCTTTGAGCTCAAACAAACAAAATGCGGCGCACTGGCCGTTAAAACACCCGATTTAGCAACAAAGTCTGGGTGTTTACCGATCCCAGAAGAAGATCGAAGAACCGCTACTGCTTCCATCTGCACAATTACAACACCAAATCCTCCATTAAATTTCAAGCAAAAGCAAGCCCACAGACTCCAACTTAAACCCCAGAAAGATTGAACCGGCCCAGATCGATTACCTGCAATACCCCGGTGGAGAAATCCCACTAGAGCGCGAAGACAAACAGATTACCAGAGAGAGAGAGAGAGAGATTCCTGGTTTAGGGTTTGATGCGAGGAGTTGAGACAGACGACAGTCGTCTCGTCTACGTTCAGGCTTTTGCGGGTTGCGGGTCAATCTTACTTATGGCAACGGTCGTTGGAGATGAGTACTGGAAATAAACCCCTGGAAATGTGGAGAAATTACGCTGATGGCATGGGTGTCAGCGGGGTAACGAGCAAGGTCAATTTAGTAATTCGCCGTGAGCCGCGAAGATCTTTTTGAGGAGAAGGATAATATCAGACGTCAACGTTTAGAACTCATCTTCGCGAAATCTCCCGATTAGGGGAAGTGGGACCCACAGTATTTCCGGTTAGAGGTCGACATGAATGACCCGTTTAATACGAATTTTACAAGCATACGCGTTTCATTCTGAGTGGAGTCTCTCTTTTGTGGCCTAATTTTTTTGCCTTAAAAAATACCATTTTAACGAATTAATTACTTGGGTTCAGCAGCGGAAATGACACGTGGTAAATATGAATATGGAAATGATGAACCCACTGCTTATGTATCTCGAATCTTGAGTCCGCGTTCTGTGCATTCGTGGGTGCACTTACGCGTGAACCCGCGAATGGGAGAAGAACAAGTCGACCATCCCAACGTTAATGTGCGTTTGAATGTTAACGTCGTCTGATCGGTTCAGTCGGACACGAACCGGTCACGACAAAAAGGGGTTTTAAACCTCATTTCTTTGATTTTCTTTTTTATTTCCCTTGGAGAGCTCCTTCCACCGAACCCTAACCCTTCCTCCATCGGTGGAGACAGAACTCCGGTGGTTCATCAACGGTGACAAGGAGTTTGATTAAACGCATGTTAATGCTTTTTATCATGACCAGGAAAAAAATCGAAAAATGGCCAGTTCATGTACGATTGAACAGACCAGATCACATTAACGTCCAAATGCACATTAACATTGCGATGATCGACGTGTCCCCACGGGCGCACAGAACGCGGACTCTGGAATCTTATCCTACACAGTGGCGTCAGAGTCAGGCTCAGACTGCACCAGGTATAGTTGAACCGGTGAACCTGTGTGATATATGTTGTGTGGTGACTCTATAAGCTTTTTGGGTCTAACCGTCTCGCTCTCAGCTTTCTTTTCCACGGTTGAACCAGTGGCTAAACTGAGAAACCGTGAAGCAATGAGATTTTCTTTCGGTTTTACATCCGGTTCAGTTCTGACAATATTGCTAGACACTACTAAGAAACTGAAATAATTGAGTTAGAATCTGTTCTATCTATCCATTAAAAAAATAATTAATGTATCTAAATGTGATTCACCCATTCTTTAACCTACAAATGTATAAAACATGAATTAATGAAAAATTAAATAGATCATGTGTTTGAGTGGGAACATTGGAGGGTCTGATTAAGGTTGAGGCAAACTATACCGAACTTGACCCGTTGACATCCATAAGTTGAATTGTTGATTTGGACAGCTAAACTACTAATATACCACCTAGGGGAAATGCAGTTCAATCTATTTTTAAAACATTAGTTTTTTATTATTGTTTTCAACCCATGGTCCAATTAATCAGTTGACATCCATAGGTTGAGTTGTTGATTTGGACAGTTAAATTACTAATATACTACCTAGGGGAAATGCAGTCCAATCTATTTTTAAAGCATTAATTTTTTTATTATTGTTTTCAACCCATGGTCCAATTAACTAGTTGTTCCACTTTACTTGTCACCCAATTGGGATTGTAAGTCCATTTCTCTACCAAACTTCTTGTTTGCAAAAAGATTGTTGATCTGGTAATGATCCAATAGTTGAATTGTTTAATCCACCTAATTCTTTGTATTACATTTCTATTATTAATAAATAATTTTTAATTATTACATTTATTTTTCTTTGATATGATGAATATATAATATTAGATAAACACCCAAATTTTCTAGAAATTTTTCATATTTTCCTATAATGTTTTGTATTTTATCTGATTTAAATTGTTATGCTTAATTATTATGTCACCAATTGACCCATTTGATCAGGATGGTTGAACTATTGACCCACCATGCAAAAAAATGATTTTTGACCTATATGGTTGAACCACTGTGACACACCATGCAAATGGGAAAAATGGTTTCATTTCTAAGTTGGTTTTAAAGACATGGGTTTTTATACTACTAAAATTATGGGTATAGAGTTAATTAGGGGAATTTAATGGTTGGAAACAAAATGCCTTAAATGTAGGATTTAATGGGAGATAATATTAATGAGAGAGAGAGACAGATAGACAGGTAGATAGAAAAAGGTTGAATTGAAAATTAGTTTTCTACTCTCACAAAAGGGAGAGACTACATTCACAAATAGGGGCATTACAATCAAGAAAAATTCCAGAAATACTAATTATCCATTCCTATAAATGTGATACAATATAATTTGTGACAGTGCCAACTGGCTCAATTGATAAGGTCTTTGGCTAGTTGTAGAAGAGACTTAGATCAAATGCTATTGTCACCTAAGTTGGGTGGTTATGGGAATGCATGAAGAAGGAGAAGAAGAAGAAGAAGAATTTGCGATAGATGTGTTACAAATGATTTGTTATCTATACAATAAAGTTCTTAAAGCATAGAGTGAATCCATATATAGGAATTCAAAATCAGCAATAATGAAACTTTGGTATTCAGATTCTATGCTTGATTCTAATACAATGGACTACTTTCAAGATTTCCATGATGGGTTGTTGCCAAGGAACCCCCACTGAGAGCAATGGTTGTTTAATCAACCAATTCAATCAATATCAAGAAAAAGGCATGAAGTTAAAAGGAAGGGCTTTACTTGAAGTGCAACTCAAGACCTAACATGTTCTTGAGATAATGCAAACTGTGCTTTGTGCAAAAGATGAAATTGTAGTTGGAGTTTGTATAAAAATTGGCACACCTTATTTGCAAAAAAAAACAAATGATTGATAAAATTGAGTGATAGTCATATGTTGAAAAGCTTCAACTAGTAGAGGATATCCAATTTGGTTAGATAATAAATGACTACTAAATTTTGAGAATGAGGATTAGAAGACATTATTGTGGAAGAGGACCCACACCATTTGTACTACATTTTTTTTTAGAAATCACTAGTATACTTGCAATGGGATGAAAGGGACCTCTTTGATCTGAATGACTTCAATTTCCATATAGAAAGATTTCCTATATCTTTGGTATTCACAATGGAAATAAGATGAAGAATAGATTTTTCATTAAAATTGATGATTACAGTATCATTTATGCAAATGACAACCAACAACTAATGGGGTTAATTATCTCAATGAAGAAGCAACCTACAAGCTAGAGCAAAAGGCTGATGGATTTGTAAATCATTTTAAAGCCCATCTTGTGGCCCAGGGCTTCTATTAAAGAGAAGGATTGGGTTACAAGGAAACATTCAGTCTTGTAGCTAAATCAATTACAACCCGACTTGTTCTCTCTATTGCAAACTGCAATGACTTGTCAACTAGATGTTTTAAACACCTTTCTGCATGACTTTTTACAAGAACAGTTCTATATGTGCCAACCACAAGGATGTGTGGACCCCTAAACATCTAGGTTATGTATGTCTATTGTGCAAGTCACTCTATGGGCTAAAACAAGCCCATGGGGCTTGGTTTCAACACCTTTTTACTCTTCTACTTGTATTGGACTTTCATGGATCCAAAATTGATATCTCTTTCTTGATCATCTACAACAACAAAGGTATTATATTGTATTTACTTTTATATGTTGATGACATCTTGGTGATAGGTAGCTACTCTAATGCAATGAAAAGTATTATTCAACTATTGGCCCAACATTTTACTCTTAAGGATCTAGGCCCTCTTCGTTTGGCATTGAAGCCAATTGTTTGCAATCGATGAGTTTCAAATCTATTTTAGCAAAAAGAAATCCGAGAAGAAGAAAGAAAAGGAACAGAGATAGAGAAGAGAAGAAGAGAATAGAAAAGAAAGAATAGAAGGAAAAATGGGTGCAAAAAATCTGATCTGCCACCCCATATGCTATTTATATCGGACACAAATTAAAATAAAGTACAACAAGCTAATCAATCATTTTCTCTACAAAGCCCATGACTCACCTTCAGGCTTACACTCAACCAATGAAAGTATATTCTTAGTTTACTCTCATGCACTCGTATGAATGGCACTAAACTAGTGTCTACCCCTTCCACCACTAAATCCACTTTGCAATACTTTCTTTACAAGGCTCAGTATCTCTTGTATGAACCAACTCTGTCAATGAATGTATACTCCTAAGGAAGATGACTAGATTGCTCGTTATATGAGTTTCACCATCTACTATGGAGATAACCTTATATTTTGGTGTTCCAAAAAAACAAAAAGTGGTTTTTTATTCTTTAATTGTACAAAAAAGTGGTTGCTCGTTCTTCACTATTATTTCTAAGGTGACTACATGCTTACAATCACTCTTGTGTGAACTTGGAATTTTTCTTCCATCAACCCCAATTATTGGTGTGACAACTTGAGTGTAACATATCTCACATTGAATCCAGTCTTCCATTAATGGACTAAGCATTTTAAAGTAGACTTCATTTTGTCCATGATAAAGTAGCTGCACTAAATTTCTTATTCAATACATTCCAAATGTAAATTAGATAGTTGATGATATTCTCTTAAAGATTTTTACTCGTCAACTCTTTGTCTATGTGACAAACTAAATGTCTACCTTGCTTCGTTCAATTTGTAAGGGGATGTTAACGTAACTTAGATCATGATCACATTTATCTCATGCATGTGGATGGCATAATGACCTGATAGCCATGCAATCTGATCTTTTGTTCTATTATATTTTTAAATTTTAGATGAGTTCTAGTTGTATATAAATTTGTACCGATATTGTAATTTCATGTATGAATTGAGTGAAAATTAATCTTCTTTAGCATCCCTATTCAAAGTGCCCAAGCCTTCATCTTCTAAGAAGCCTTTGGTTATTTGACATGCTTTCAACCATCGACTCACTGTCATCTAATGTTTATTAACATAGGTAATGTTTGGCAAGTCTTTTTGTATGGTCTTTTGGGCTTTAGTAAGCTTAGAAGATTGAAAGTTGGTGTTTTTTTTT